TTGCGATCTATTAGAGGCATCACATTTGAGGTGCTAAGTTCTTAAAGGTTGAAGATGAAGCAAGCTACAATTGAAAGGTAAGATTCTAACTATGTTTTAGAGATAAATTTCGATTTATGCATGCTAGTTTAGGGTTATAGCTTTGGATGATTATTATTGCATGTACAATTAGAGAAATCCTAGATCCAAAGCTTTAGGGTTGCATGTGCACCATAGGATTGATGTAATGCTCAAAATCCATCAGAGTTTTGAATCCATGCATGAGATTTTGGTCCCATTTTCATTATTTTGACCTAATATGACCTGAAGACATGCATTGGACATGAATGTCTATAAAGCATTGATTTTTGGAATGTTCTTGGAGTAAAATAGCCTTCTAGAAAGTTGGAATGGGTAGATTAAAGGATTAAGGGCTTAATGCATTAAGTTCTCCCAATGCAGTATTCACGACACGACCATATGGATGTCACGACATGAAGATGACCATGGATTGATCACAACGTGGAAGTCAGCTAATGTTGACTTTGACCGTTGACGTTTTGACCAAGTTTGACTTTAGGTCAATTTGAGGGTTTTCTGTTGTAGTTTAAGGATTGGTCATTGATTGTTGTTTAGGTGAGCTGTAGTAACATTTTTTGGATTTGTGATAGTTGTGCTGTTATCTGCTAGACTGCAAGGTGAGTTTTCTCACTATTCTTTGTACTGCAATATGTGTCATTGTGTGTAGGATGTTGTTATGTTGTAGCGATCTGTTATACTGGTAGATCCTCTATGATTACCTATGCTTACTTGTTATTGTCTTAGTGCATATGCCATCATAGTCTGGTTGGGTTGAGGCGATACTGCTTTGTGCTATGGGCCAACATACCTGGGAGCGGTCCAACTATATGCTGCAGGCTCGGGAGCAGTCCAACTTTGTGTTGTTGGCTCAGGATAATGTGGTTGGGTTGAGGCAGTATTGCTTTGTGTTGTGGGCCAACATACTCGGTAACGGTCCAACTTTGTGATGTAGGCTCAAGATAGTGTGGTTGGATTGAGGCGGTACTGCTTTGTGTTGTGGGCCAACATACTCAGGAGCGGCCCAACTATATGTTGTAGGCTCAGGAGCTGTCCAACTTTATGATGTAGGCTCAGGAGGCGGTCCAACCCTATGTTGTAGGCATGTGTGCATGCATTGTATTTGTATTGTTGTGTGGGGTATTTTGGGGGAACTCGCTAAGCTTTATGCTTACGGTTTATGTTTAAAATATTTCCAGGTACTTCTGGTTCCAAAGTGAAGGGCCCGGTTTGATCGTACTGCATCCCCTGGAGATTCATTCTGCATTGGCTGTTTTTTATTTTACTATGATGTTTTGAGAATACTGTTACTCTGATTGTCTTTTGGAACAAACGAATGAATGGTTTTGATTTATTTAAAAATGAAATTTTTACTCGGTATTCTTGGGACGTTACAACATGACAAAATGGTTTTATTATAATGAAATACCAATGCTTTGATATATGAAATGTTTTGAAAAGAAAGTGTTAAATGTTTTTAGAAAGAATGGTTTGGGAATGAGTATTTTGATACTAACTTATGAAATGTGTAAAGCTAGGAAATTAATGACAAGAAATGTAAAGTAATGAAAAGAAATGAAAATAATTGGAAAGTAATGAAAATAATATATTGCTTGAACCATGATGTCCTAGTAAAGGGATATAGATGAATCTAATGGGGGTGTCGCCTCCCCTTTACGAAGTAGATGTCATAGTCAGCACGATAAAAGAGAATGAAATGTGTAAAGATGTCTTTTGAAATGAAATGAAATGATATTTATGGCATGTATGAAAAGACTTTTCCTTGAAAATGTTTGAAAATGTTTTATGGTCTAAAACTATGTTATGTTATGAATGAAATGATTTTTCATGTAAAATGTGATAAATGTTTTGGGTAACAAACTCACGTAGCTCACGAGACATTTTTGTCTTATGTGTCTATTTTTCATGCCATGTATCTCATGTTACCCTTAAGGAAAGAGTATGATAGATGGAAGTTAGCAGTCAAACGATAGAGAATGGAGTGGAACTTGTTAAGTTCCTTATTAATTTTGTTGATGTAATTCTTAATTTCTTGCTATGGTTGTTTTGATGTTTAATGGTAACACCCACTGTTTTAATTGTAAATGTTTTTGTGGGACTGAGTTTTTATTAAATGCGGGTTAATACTCGAATATTTTTATAACCATAACTTTGAATTTTTTTTTGTTATTTTAAAATAGTTGTACACCCCAAAAAATACCGAGTAAAAATTCATTTAATTTAAATAAAAAACATTCATTCATTTGTTCCAAAATACAATTAGAGTAAACGTATTCCCAAAACATCAGAGTAAATCGTAAACAATCAATGTAGAATAAATCTCCAGGGGATGTAATGCGGTCAAGCCATGGTCTTCCTTTTGAAACTAAAAGTACCTAAAAACATTAAAACACAAAACCGTAAACACAAAGCTTAATGAGTTTCCCCAAAATACCGTATACCATATATACATTGGGCCCCGCCCGACTAATATGCACGTCTGTAATACATAGTGGGCCCCGCCCAACATACATACAAACACATGTAATAGTCACAAAGACAACTAGCACCCTACAAACGTAATCCAATGGGCCGACATTGGTGTCTTCGACCCACAAGTACAGTGAAGAGACTCATCTGAACTACTCAACATAAGCTCAACAGCTACCTCATCAACATCACAACTAACCCAAGTTTCCTAAAATCCAAACTGAGACCAATCATTAGTCAAATACTCAATTCTACCCAAGTTTGACCAAAAGTCAAACTGATCAAAAGGTCAACGGTGAAAGCTAAGGTCAAAATTACCAATAGCAGCCCTCCATGTCGTGGCATTCCTTTGTGATATCCCGAATTTCACGGACAGAAAAGACTGATTTGTTTATGCTTACTTAAAATAAGAGTATCATTTTTAAAGAATATTATTGCTCAATTTGTTCCCAAAAAACATGATAAAGATATTTTATTTATCAAAGCATTCCCGAATAAATGTATTTTATTTATATAAAAATTTTGAGATGTCATCGTCAATATAGTATATAAGCATAAACGGAAATATACAAGCCTTATAAACATCTATTATTCCACTGGCCTATAATCCATAAATCTCTCATCTGATCATCACACCCGTGCTCTCGCGTCACTACATGTAATACATGAAGCTAAGTGGGTCAGGCTTGGGAGTCTGGTAAGCACATAGAGTTTTCAACCCACAATAATTAAATTCTTTTAATTATATATATATATATATATGTGTGTGTGTGTGTGTGTGTGTGTGTGCTAGGTTATAATATGGATGAACAACTATTGTGCGGATGTGTGGACAATGTTATTCTAATAGAATTACTAAGAGAATAGGTTGTTTGCTAATGTGAATACGTTCAACCTTACACAACTATCGTCATTTTCATGCATTCTCACTAATTATTATTTATTTTTGTTCTCACGCATCGGTTTTTACTCATTTTAATTCTTACATAATACGACTCAATAAATATTCTGACAACATTCTGACAGAATGAGAATAATAAAAAAAAAGTTTATAATAACCTTATACACGATTTAATTAGTGAAAATACGTAATAATGACAATAGTTATGTAAGATTGAACGTATTCACATTACCAAAGAACATATTTTCTTTGTCATTCTCGCAGAATAGCATTGTCCACACGTCCGCACAATAGATGTCAATCCTAATTTGAACCTAGCTCATATATATATATATATATATATATATATATATATATATATATATATATATATATATATAATATATATATATATATATATATATATATATATATGCCACACCCCCGACCGCCGGCCAAAACGCTGAGGTGCGCGACGTAAATCAGTAATCACAATTATTGAACATACATTGAACAGTACAATTATAATCTTCTATTATTACCGAAACAAAAATTACATTGACAAGACCATTGCTAAATCGAGACAAACGCCTAATAATTTGGCGTTTACAAGGGTATAATAAAAATAACGGAGAGCCTTCGAAGCGAACACTTCTGACCTGCTAAATAACCTGGGAATACATGCATTTAAAATACGTCAACAAAAATTGTTTTGTGAGTTCTATAGATTTTGACACAAAGTATTTTTATAACCAAAAGCGTTTTATAAAAATTAGATGGTTGGTCAGCTTTTATAAACACACACCTTTCTATAAAAAGTATAAAATAACTGAGTTATAAAAATGTATTTGGTCTCATTTAGAAACATCATGCGTTCAAATCCAAAATTTCAAAATTTGGCAAAATACATACAACTAAGTCAAACTTATATTAAAAGTTATACGGTTCTCATGACCAAAATGTTTTTTATATAAGGATTTTGAGTGCCAATTTATATAAAATAAAGTTATATCGCATCTTGTGAAAACATAAAATGGCCAAACTTTACTATATAAATCTTGTACAAGCGTTTATATAGTTTATATGTAAAACTCATAAGTTTCGAATTTATAAACTTTGTAAAATCCTGTTGTGGTATTATTTAAGTATTATCTTACTTAATTTGGGAACCAACACTTAACTAGTGGGACAAACTCCTCTCACATACATATTATGTTTTCGTACAAGAACAAATGGTTTAAATAAATAACTTATTAACTGTAAGTTATTAAAGCTTAATCAGTCGTGTCATGATATTAATTAAGTGTTATATGACTTAATTTACGGTATTGACACTTATCGTCGCGAGTCACAACTATTCCACTACATACATCCTCTTTCAACTAGAATAAGTGAACAAAAACCCCATATAAACCCAATATCGATTCTATACGGTAACAAGACAAATCCGAAATCTATAATGAGCTCATAACCGAATTGCGACAAACACCTCTGCACCAGCACAAAAAGGGCATGCTAAAAGTTCCACAACACTAACATTGGCGTGCTAAAATAGAGCACACGAGCAACGAGAATCATACAAACATATATTTAGGTTACACATTCGCATAAACAACATTAAGCTTCAAGGGCATTACACGCCCATCACTTTTATTCCTCTATACATTATTCACTATAAACTTTGTTACATGATTGGACCCACACCGCTAACATAGTAAAACACCCAACAAAGGGATCTATGCATCCATTTGTATGATGCAACGGAGACTTTCTCCTTTAAGCATGAGGTCAAATGCTTTGTTGATGTCCGAGAAACCAACCTGGTGAGTTATGAATTTCTCCACTTCTATTTCCTGCATCCATCAAAACCAAACTATAAAAGTGTTCTACAAATTCTTCAATTACTACTTCAATCAATGACTAAATCGATAAAAAAAACTATAAATCATCACCTTGTTCATGTACTTTTCAACAACACCAGGAATATCTGTTCGGGGTTTATAGTTGCCAAAGAATGTACCCTTCAGAGTCCTCTCATTCAAGAAATTTATAGGAAGAGTTTTGAATTCATCATCTTTACTCGGCACACCAACAAGAACTGCCACACCCCAACCCTACAAAAACATCAAGTTCTCATCATACAAAAATATAACACCAAGAAATAGAATAATAGATTAAATGGATTTGAACGGGATTTACGTCATGAACACATTCAAAAGCCGAAATCATTGCCCTAACATTTCCTGTGCACTCCACACTCCTATCAACTCCACCATCAGTCATTGCAACAATGACCTACAAAAAGGTTAAAACATTAAACAATGGGACTAACATTTAGAAAGTTAAAGTTAAAGTCACAACAAAAAAATTGTATATCTCATGCTAGGAAAAAAAACCTCTTGGATCGGTTTGTCATGATCTTTAGGATTCACAAACTCGGTAACACCAAACTTCTTAGCTGTTGTCATTCAAGAATTCAACAAACATACTTGACAAATATCGATGTATGGTAAGAATTAGTCAACTCTTTTGATACATAAAAGTCGATCATGGAGTGGCTTACCTTCATCGGCTCTACTCTCATTTAGGTCAATACCAATGATCCTTGAAGCCCCAGCAATCCGAGCTCCTTCAGCTGCCTGAGATCGAACCAAAAGAAAGTACAAATCCAAATCTTTTTCCACAATTTAGCCAAGTTGAATACACAAATAGAGAAAGAAACAAAAGTCAACTCACAGCAAGCCCTACAGCTCCTAGCCCAAATACAGCAACAGTCATACCCTCTTTAGGTTTAGCAACATTCAGGGTTGCACCCATGCCTTCATGCCCATAAAAACAAACCCAAATAAGTTAAAGTTACGCTTACACTTGTTGCTTTTACAGAAACGAAATGAAGAAACCAACCAGTGGAAATCCCGCAGCTAAGAACGCAGACTTTGTCAAGGGGAGCATCAGGATTGATTTTAGCAACACAACCAGAATGAACAACTGTGTACTCACTGAAAGTTGAGGTTCCAAGAAATGGTAAATCGGGTTTCCATCTTTTGAGAATCTTGTTTTTCCATCGTTTATCATTGTACCCCTATCAGTATTAATCCGGAGAAGATCACACATATTGCTCTCTTCAGACTTACAATGGCGACACTCCCCACATTCTCCGGTGAATACTGGGAGGACTTTGTCCCCTGGTTGCAGCTCTGTCACACCTTCACCTACGCTCTCTACAATTCTATCCAACAGAAGATAAACAAATATGAAGATTTGAATTACATAACATCAGAATAAACTTGAAAAAAGACGTTCAAAAGGAGGATTACTATACCCTCCGGCTTCATGGCCTAATATGCGAGGAAACAAGGGGTTTTGTCCCTGCAACATGTATACTCATGTTTAACGATTATTAGATTGTTGAATACAACTTATAATTATGAGTGGTAATTAATTTCAAACTGAAGAACGAAGAGTGGAAATTGTTCGTGGGGAATGAAGTAGGAAGTTATGACCTTAGCTTCCCAAAAGTAGACATCGGTGTGGCACAAAGAGGTGAAGAGGATCTTCAATCGGACTTCCATTTTCTGCGGTGGCGCCACTTCCACTTCTTCTATTACGAGTGGCTTCCCGGCTTCCCGTGCCACCGCAGCTGCATATACAATTGAATTCAGAAATTGTCGATATTTATTTGGAACAATCAATGGAAAAATAAATACACAGTAGGAGATTATCAGAAAACGGAAAACGAAAGACGAAATTCATAAGAACACATTTATAAACATAATACACGATTATTACAGTGAGAATTCTGAAAAGTCGAGATCAAAAAAGAGAATGAACAGCGGAAACGATCATCTAACTATACGAAGAAGAGATTGCGAGATCTGTAACATAAATCCGTCATATTTCACAGTATACAATTTTGGGGAATGCAGAGAAATTGTGAAAACCAGATCAAAATCATGAAATGATATATTACCTTTGCATCGAATGACATCACCGGACATTGTGGTAGATTTTTCTCGTTACTTTTGGCTCAGATTTGTTCGAGTGTTTGTATATGAAAAGTGGTGATCGAGATGGTGATGGTTATGGTGAAGGTGATGATTTATAGCCAAAAAATGAAAGACACAACAAACCACCGCCATGACTGGGAACAGGTGTAAGCAAGACGTTCAATGACTTCAATCCTTTCATAGTTTTGAAAACTGTAAATTACAAGTTTGTCTTTCGACATCACGTGTTATTTTTCTAAAATAGGATTGTTGAAAGATGCATGTATCTATTATAAAAAAGTGCAAATGTACATTGGCTTTGGTTAAAACTTTATTTTAAGAGAAAAAAGTAAAAGAGTAAATTATAGTTTAGTGGTGTATCTCAATTTGCATTTTTTGTTTAACTTTTAATTTTTTGACATGGTTGTCCTTGTGATCCATGATCGTTTTAGACGGTGGGTAATAGGTGTGAACATGATGTGGTTCAGTGCAGTTATTGGTCAAAACCGTATCGTAAACCGCAAATGCAGCTACTTAAATTTCAAAACAGATCGGTGTAGTTCTTTTTGCGGTGTGGTTTGTTAGTATTCTTTATTATAATTATTAATATAAATTATTATTTCATTAAGTGGGGTATCATATATTTGATAGGTTACAAAAAGGCTAGTCAGTGTCATCAGTGTATTTCATAAATTAGAGCTTAATGAATACTCTAAACATTGTGTATAAATAATGGATGGTTCCCAACATACAAAGACTCATCAGTGTATTTCATAAATTAGAGCTTAATGAATACTCTAAACATTGTGTATAAATAATGGATGGTTCCCAACATACAAAGACACACAGACAAATCTATTACATTCTTGATTCCCATCATTTAAGTGTGTGAGAAGAAAATACAAAGGGTCTTTCTTGAGGAAGACCATTATACAATAGTGCTACTCTCTCGTCCATATTCCACATCAAGAAGACGGCTCAATCAAAAAATGGATTCATGTATGAGATGTTGGGTTTTATTAAAAAAGTAGCCTATAAAAACTACGAGTTTAGGCAACGGAAGCATTAAAATTTGAATAACATTAAAGCCATTTTATACCCACCAATGTCATTTTGCAAGACATGGAAAGATTAAATCAACCATAAAAAGTAAATATTACAACATTTGAAGACTTTGATTCTCATGAGAGATTAGAAGTTGATGAAGTGAGGCAAAAGACTCAAAGTAGAGGCTCTCTACAAGTATCCACAAAGCAAGGGTAAACCACCAAAAGATGCTAGTCTTCACTTGCAATTAGTTCTTCTTAATCCTTAAAGATCTTATACAAAATAACCCTTAAAAGAGAAGCAACTAAAAAACTCCAATCTTCACAAAAATTTACGAAACATGGAGAAGGAATGGGAGCTTGATGCTCTCGACATTATAGAGAGAAAAAAAAGAGTTGGAAAAAACTAGTTAGGTTTTAGTCCATACACTTCTTTATATACTTACATGCATGAGAGAAGGTCCATACCTTTATTAAATGCATGATCCATGCTTTCTTGCAAAGCATGGGTGAAAGACTAAGTCAAACACACAAGCACCTATACCCCCTTGGTATCTACGACTTTGGAGTGAGTGAAACATCCAAAAATTATGACCCAAAAATTTCATTTTTGATTTAAGTAAAAACAATATTCCAAAACATTGTTCATACATCCTGATCGAATAAATAAGTCAATCATCCTAAAAATCAGAGTATGTCCCATAAACAGAATTCATATGGTGTGTGCGATGCAGTCAACCCGAGCTCTTCCCCTTGGAACCGGAAGTACCTGAAACATAAACTAAAAATGATAAGCACAAAGATTAGTGTGTTCCCCAAAGTACCACATACCATACATACAATAATATATAATGGGCCCCGTCCTGTCTTCGGGCCCCGCCCGGCATCGGACCCCGTCCGACATCGAGCCCTGCTCGGTAATAGATCGGGCCCCGCCCAACATACATACAACATATATTAAGTAATCACACACATGCAATAATCACAAAGATACATAACATGCAGATGGTCATCGGGCCCTAGCCCGGTAAGCATATAAACACATAACACATGCAAGAGTCATGAAGACAACTAGCATACTAACTGTAACACCGTAATTTTCAAAACAATTTTTCACTTTTAAAAATACAATTTCATTCATAAATATTCTCAAATCTTAATGTATTACATATCGAATCCATAAAACACATCCCAAGATCAAATGTATAAAACTCCAATAGTGTCTACTGATCATGTCGGCGCCTTCCCGCGATCCTCACTGGTACCTGAAACACATAACACAAAACACTGTAAGCATAAATGCTTAGTGAGTTCCCCAAAATACCACATATTAGCCACTCGAGGCTATAACTCTGTGGGCCCACTGGCCCTAACTCTGTGGACCCTCTGGTCCTAACTCTGTGGCCCTTCCGGTCCTAACTCTGTAAACTCTGGAATACACACAGCATAAATCACATAGAAATAATGCAGTGCAACACATCACATACATAGCATACAAGATACTCTGTCACATAACTCTAATTACCACTCATGGTAAAGTATAGTGAGAAGACCCACCTCGGGTAACTCGGTAAATCTCGAGCTCGGTAAAATCTGGTCTAGCCCCCACCTAATCACATAGAATAAGCACTATAATCAATACAACTCTCAAGGCTAGACTAACCCCCCTCTTAGTACTCTCAGAAGGGTAAAAGACCATTTTACCCCTCTCATGGCTCAAAAACCCTAACATTGACCAAACCCTAAAAGTCAACAAAAGTCAACGGTCAAACTTTGACCTGGACTCGTCGAGTGCACTAGTGTGACTCGGCGAGTCCATGCGTGTTCTCTTCGTCCCTGGTCCTCACTCGACTCGCTGAGTCGACCCTACACTCAACAGGTTATTTCAGATCGTGAATCGCGGGGCAACCGGACTCGACTCGTCGAGTCCCTTATGGGCTCGGCGAGTTCCTCCCATGACATCCCTTATCTGACCTCCTGAGGTAAGATCTGTTTCTCTAATCTATAGATCTGACTTCCCCATGACCAATAAACACGTAAAGGTCGAATCTTGCTACACATGCAATGCTCCCAAGGCTTATTTTGGTGAAATCCCTTCCAACATGGCAACCTATGTCCATTTCCTCCATAGAACCACAAAAAGCATCATGGTTCAGGCTCTCTGGACCTCAAAAGGTCCAGATCTAGAGTTTTGCACTCAATGGGACACTATACACAACTAACCAAGCCATGAAAGGGTATAAAAAACCCTAAATTCAATGCCATTAAGCAAAACAGGAGGATAGGATCGAAAAGCTACCTCAAACTTGAAGATCCAAGCTGAAAACCCACTGAAATGCAATTCTCTTGACCTCCCCTTGCTGGAAACTCTTTCTCCTTTGCAAAATCACACTAAAATGATCAAAGAGGCTCAATCTCTCTCACAACTCGCTCACAATCGCTAGGGTATCTCTCTCTGGATTGGTAGCCGCAAATGGAGGCCATAAAGGCCTTTAAATAGGGCACAGACCCCGAGAATTAGGGTTTCAATTTGCAGCACGGATTCGTTGAGTCCACCCTTTCCGACTCGTCGAGTCCGTTCATTAATCCAGTCAGCAGTCGCGGTCCTACTCGACGAGTCTACGACTCAACTCGTCGAGTCCCTCTCTTTTTCTCAGAAATAAATGATAAAATATAATACCTGGAATTTCGGATGTTACAATTCTCCCCCACTAGAATCAGACTTCGCCCTCGAAGTCTTACTCCAGAAACAACTCTGGATGCTGCTCACGCATCTCTAACTCCGGCTCCCACGTCAGCTCGGACCCTCTCCGATGTTGCCACTGGACCTGCACCACGGGGCACCTCCTTGTTCCTCATAACCTTGATCTTCCGATCCACAATCGCAACTGGCCTCTCAACATAACTCAGGCTGGCATCCACCTGAATATCCTCCAACGGTACCACCGCCGTCTCGTCGGCTATACACTTCCTCAACTGAGACACGTGGAAGGTATCATGGATCTGACTCAACTCCGCAGGTAGCTCCAGACGATATGCTACCCTGCCTACCCTCGCAGTCACCCTGAACGGACCGATGTACCGGGGCTCCAGCTTGCCCCTCTTCCTGAATTGGATCACTCCTTTCCAAGGAGATACCTTCAGGAGTACGAAATCCCCCAACTGGAACTCAAGCTCGGATCGTCGCCTATCCGCATAACTCTTCTGGCGACTCTGAGCCGTCAACAACCTCTGTCTAACCTGCTGTATCTGATCCGTCGTCTGAAGCACTAACTCAGTGCTGCCCATCACTCGCTGCCCGACCTCTCCCCAGCATATGGGAGTCCGACACCTCCTCCCGTACAACAACTCAAAGGGAGGCATGCCGATACTCGAATGGTGGCTGTTGTTATAAGAAAACTCAGCCAACGGCAAATACGTGTCCCAACTTCCTCCGAAGTCCATCACACATGCTCGCAGCATGTCTTCGAGCGTCTGAATCGTCCGCTCGCTCTGACCGTCCGTCTGTGGGTGGTATGCGGTACTGAAATGCAACCTCGTACCCAACTCCTCATGGAACTTCTTCCAGAACCTGGAAGTGAAACGCACATCTCGATCCGACACGATCGAGATCGGTACTCCATGTCGTGATACCACCTCTCTCACATACAATTCTGCCAGCCTCTCAGCAGAAGAGCTCTCACTGATAGCCAGGAAATGAGCGCTCTTCGTCAGCCGGTCAACGATCACCCAAATTGCATCGACACCTCTCGCAGTCCTCGGCAATTTGGTGATAAAATCCATGGAAATCTGTTCCCACTTCCACTGGGGAATCTCAAGTGGCTGCAACTTGCCGTGCGGACGCTGGTGCTCAGCCTTAACCCTGCGACAGGTCAAGCACCTCTCAACAAACCATGCCACATCCCTCTTCATACAGGGCCCACAATAGTCTCTCTTCAGGTCCAAATACATCTTAGTGGCCCCGGGATGGATCGAAAACCTCAACATGTGCACCTCCTCCATCAAAATGGTACGTGCCCCGCCCTCAAATGGCACCCAAATCCGACCCTGAAAGGTCATAAGCCCTCGGCTATCAGTAATGAACTCAGGTACTTGCCCGATCACCCGTTCTCTCTTGCGG